CACTAGTAACCATTTCTGATGACTATATAAAATTTCAGAAAGGATCGTATTTATGTGTAGTAAATTGATATCTTTGTTTAGATACAGATCTCGATACTGAGTCTTGCTCACAGATGTGCAGCCAGTTTGTCTCAGGAATCATGGAGATAATTATATTGCGTTATAGTCTGTATAGCCCCAAATCTTTTTAAATCCCCAAGGCTGTCAATTGCCTGCTGTGGTGACACTGGATTAGATACTGGATCAGTAGGAAGCAAGCTGCTACAAGACAAGATCACTCAACTCCTCCATAACAATGTATTAAGGTTTTCCCAAGCTCCTGCAGGATTCCGCAGCATTGGTCTATGTCAGGAGTATCTCCATATGGGATGGGATGGTGGTGAATGATGATTCCATGCTTCCAATAGAAGTCTAAGAGGTTTGGTAACTGATATTTTGACATTTCTCCTCTTGTATAGAACATAATATATCTTGTATACCATAGTTCTTTAGTTCTTCCATGTCCTTTTGGAGATTTCTCCTAACATATTTAAATTTACAACCTGGAAGAAAACATCAACCTAGAAACTGAGAACAATTCACAAGGGAAAAGGGTAGCCATGATACCTGAAATGGTGCCTGTTCATTTTCAACTAGTTCTTCATCTGATGACTCAGACTCACTCATCTGCATTGTACTGGGCACCCTCACAGTAAGCTGCTGGGAGCCCAATATCAGGCATGCAACTCCAAATCCTTTCCCTTGGAGTGTCCACCTTCTGCTGCTTTCCCAGAGCTCATTGATACCTTCCTTCTGTGAGGCAGGGAAAGGGCATATCCTAGCATATCTCACAACTTCTAAGAAAAGAGTACATTTGTCTCTCTGGGTTTTCTTCCCTCTTCCTCTTTTTGGAACAGAGCTGAGGAGAGAAAACGGAAAGGTAGCTTAGAGTCGAAGTGTTGGCATGCCCATAGGTGGAATCCCTAGGACTGTACTTTTTCAACCAGAACTTCCCCAGAAATCAGTAACCCACCTCGGGAACTTCCTATTAAATAGGTTGAAATTGGGATACAATTGATCTCTTTGCAATATGTTTAGTAGCAACCCTATGGTTTTACAACCTGTCATTTAACATGCTTTTAAATGGTAATATTTCTTTTAATTTAGATATTTTGAGGATATCATGATTGTATTGGTGTGTGGGCATTCCCTCTACATACTGAACTTCCAACTACTCCATAACTCTCATGTGGTTGGAATATTACTTGTAGTTTCTTTCCCCATAAATCCTCCATAGATGACTGACAGCACAATGAAAGCCTCTCTCTTATCATTTTATCTCAAGGGCACCAATTTACCACCTACCCTTCTGGAAGGAGCCTTTCCAGATCCTGCTTAATTCTAGTGCCTTTCCTCTGTTGATTATTTCCAATTTATCCTGTTTTTAACTTTTTTCATAGTTGTTTGCCTGTTGTCTCCCCCATTGGACTGAGAGTTGATTAGAAAAAACAACTTCTTTTGCCTTTCTTTGTATCATCAATGTTTTACACAGTTTATGGCATATAGTAAGAGTGTAATAAATGTATACTGACTGATTCAGGCCAGAGTTATAAATAGGGCTGAGGGATCAGAATTTTTTGTCCAAAGAACTAAAGTTTAGAAGGGTGAAACTCTTTCCCTTTGCAGCATATTCCTATACTTTGAGGTCCACTACCAGCCTTGCACACATAGCACTATTTGTGGCTTAACAATCACTTGTCCTGCCAGGGCACTACTCCTCTCTCCCTGGACCTGGTAGCTAACCAAAAGCAGGCTTCAGTGGGACATTTTTGGCAAGTCATAAGATAAAGGAGATGAACACTTCTCTTCTCCTCCCTACTTATGTTTCCCTTGCCTACTGTAGCTTCATACTACATCTACCAGGAGTTAGGAGGTTAAGAGCATAGGCCTGAATCTCAAGGGATAACCTACTTACCTACCACAACTACCAGCCCCAGGACTGCACCTTACCAAATTGGATTGTATAGGTCAGGTATTTACTCAGAAGTTACCATTTAGAACCATCAGCATTGGTAGATTCCAGGTAAGGTAGGATCCCAAGGCTTTCTAGAATCTCATGGGATCTAGAATCCCATGAACTGTCTAACCTACTTCTTTCCCAGTTAGAAGCCTTGTAGTGTGTTGATCTCTATTTCTTACCCTACTAATCCTGTGATATTTGCTCCAGGCACTGAAATTGCTAGTTACTTACATAACAGAAAAGAAATTAACAGATGAATCACTTTTGCTATCTAACCAGGCCTTCTTCTATTATAGGCAAATACATACACAATAATGTCACATTTGCCAATTCTAACATGAATCATCATTGGTACATGGTCCTACTTGCATATACAGACTCTGAGTTTTTTCATTAGCTTTTGGATTTTCCATTTTAATTCTGAGATATTATATTCCATGATCCACAAACATGAAGTGTCAACAAGAACAAATAATACTTGAAAAGATGAATTTTTCTTAGAAAGAGAAAATGGGAACCATAAAAAGCGATGTGCAGATTCTTAAAAGCAATGGAGTCTCACCTCAGAGTCATGTCAGCACCTAGCTTTTTGTCCTTCCTCAACATCTGCCCAAGATATACTTAATACAGCACTAATTCAATAAAGTTTAGATTGAGCTATGTGAAGTTTTGTCCACTTTGCTTTCTCATTGTAGATACTTAACTGATCACACTAGATTGTACTGATGAGTCACTGAAGTTAACATCTATTAATTGTGGTGTATCAGAATTGATAGAAAACTTTCTGAATGTTTTTTCATCAATAAAGAATTTTCATTTATTTTTATACTATGCAAAAGTTCTACTTAACATAAATAAATACCTTTGTTCAAATCACAATCACCAACAAATAAACAAAAAAGATTCAAACTCAATACATATTCCAATCTCTTAAGGAATGTGCTGAAACTTTAGGATAAAGCTTTAATCTTTACTATTATTCAAAAACACCAATCAGATATATGGACACTACTGAATAGTCTGATTAAAAGCAAAGTTTGTCTTTATTGAAATGAAATAAAACCTGAGAGAACAAATGCCAACTACTTTGCAGGTATTTTCCCCCTACCTCCCCAGTTAGAGAGTGATTGAATTTTTTAAAGATAATGCATTCCATGGTATTTGCCTCATCAAGTGAGATTCTAGAAGTTTAATAGGATTTCAAGACAAAAAGAAGGCATCCAAGTACTTCATCTTCTTGCTATGGCAACACAGGGATCCCCTCCTGTTCTGTATTCTCCCAATACAACCTACAACCCTGAGGTCATGCTAAATGGTGAGTCAGGTACAACCATCTAACCATTCTGTGTTTCCAGGGCATTGCTCATGCCTCCTGATATGCACTATCCCAATCTGATCTTCCATCCTGAGACCATGCTGTATTAGTGATAGCTCACTAAATCTCAGCAGCCTTAACTCTGACCCTGATTTTCTACCTCTTCCTCCAAGTCAAAGCTTCCATTGCTTTGTGTCTCCATTTGACATCCCTATGACTTCATCCTTTCCTGGCAACAACTATCCTATATGCATAGCAGCTAGTCTATCCTTTATGAATTCTGGGTATCCGTATCTCAACTTCCACATCAATGGCTAGTTGGGTCCTTGGCAAGGCTGTATCTCCTTTCTCCCATTATCAGTAGGGCTGGGCTGCAGGGCTGAGTAATTCTTCTCTAATGACAATGACTCAAGTCCTCATTCCAATGTTTTCCCCAATATCAAGTGCTAGTGATTAGCATCCCAGTTTCATATAATCAACTACCAACAATTAGTTTTTACAAAGAGATATTTACTGAAAAGATATAGGAAGAACAGAAGTATACAAACATTTTTCCCCAGCATCTGAGGGGAAACATTTTCCCCCATACTACTTCAGTCTCTAAGGAGAATAGACTAAACTTTATAACAGTTTCTATATATTCATAGTACTTTTGGATGTGGCAGAGCAGAATGGCAGAGCCTCTTTGATATCTTCTTAGCCACCTTTGATCCACTTCAATGCTATATCAATCATGTCACTTCAATCCTTACCAGGCTGAGCTGTATTTTAAATCTGACATGGGTTCCAGTTTACACAGCCCCAAAAGATCACTTTCCTGACCATTCAAGGCTGTCTAAACCCCAACTTAGTCCAATACTTCACCTGATATTTTTTTAATTAGGTAAAAGAGACAGAAACAACAGCAGGGTTATGTGTGCACAGTCTTCGTGGAGGCAACATTAGAGGGCCCAAGTCCTCTCCCCCCATCCAGAGGCTTACAACATTCCAAATCCAGATGCAGCCAGGCAGTTCTCAATCATTTGACTAATGCATTATTTATTACTTGTGTAATACTCAGTATTGGTTCAGAACCCAAACTAAAGACTCCTTCTCTTTTCCATGAAGAGACCAGAAACAGTATCTACGTGTGCTCTGAAGTTCACTTGGAGTAATGTCACCAGAGCAGATTAATCATACTCATAAGGTCTAGGCTCATTGACCAATCCCAGTTCCCTGTTACATTAGAATGTTAGCTCCTTGAGGACAGGGATTTCTCTTCTTTTATAATTGTATCCATAGCATTTAACACAGTGTTGCCTCAAACAAACGGAGATCTGGGAAAGACCTTAGCTTAAAAAGGCCAAAGTCTCCCACTGCATCCAGGTTCATCTCCAGTCATCCTGATCTATGTCTTGCCACTGGATTCAGATGACCCTGGAGAAGAGAATGAGGCTGATGACTTTGCACAGCTCTGCCTCATTTACATCTAACTCATTTACTAGTCAAGACATCAACCTCCGATGTCATTGGTACCCTTCAAGAATGAAGCACAAATAACAGCAATCCGTATGAGTAGCAACCCTAATGTCTGCATGTCCTAACTATGTCAGACCAGTCCAGTCCTACTGATAATTAATGTTTCTGTCAGAAATTAATATAATTTTAATATTCCTACTTACCCCATTGTCAAATCTCACATGGAGATCATATGTCACCCATCACCAATACTTGCTTGGGTCGTCTTTCCTTTTTGGAGTTCACATAGTGGTGACGTGGTAGGTTGGTGACCATTTTGTTCCATACACCCTGCCATATCTTCTTAGACCTCAGTCCATAGATGAGGGGATTCAGAGTGGGTGGGATGACAAGGTATAAGTCAGCTAGCAGAACCTGAGTATGCACAGGAACCATATCTTGACCCCACCAATCCACATAGACAGATATCAACCCAGGTAGATAGAAAAGTGCCATGACCCCTACATGGGAACCACATGTACTAAGTGCCTTGTGCCTAGCACTTTTAGAGGAAAGATTAAATACTGCCTGAAGGATTAGACTGTAGGAGGCAGAGATGAATGTCACATCCATGCCTACAACAACAGAGGATCCTATCAGTGCATAGAGATTACTAGTTCTGTGGTCAGAACATGCCAAATTGGCCACAGCCATGTGCTCACAATAGGAATGAGGGACTTCATGTGAGCCACAATATGGCAAATGGCTCACCATCCAGCTCAGTGGGGTCAAAGCAATGGTAGCTCTTACCACAATTGCCACATTGATGCCTAGGATTTTCCGTGGTGTAAGGACAGTATTATAGTGCAAGGGTTTGCAGATAGCCACATAGCGGTCAAAAGCCATGGCTAGCAGAAGCCCTGACTCCAGGGCTGTGGCAGTATGGACAATATACATCTGGGTGAAGCAGGCAGTGAAGGCAATGGTGCCATGGCCTGACCAGAAGATACTCAGCATCTTTGGGGCAACAGATGTTGCCATGACGATGTCCACACCAGCCAAGACACACAGGAAATAATACATGGGTTCATGTAGTGCAGGGTCCACCCAGATCACAGTCATGATGAGGCTGTTCCCCGCAAGGACCATAGTATACATGGTGCTGAGGAGGGCTGCTAGCCAAAGGTGAGTCTCCTCGAGTCCTGGAATACCCATGAGAAAGAAGGTGGCAGGAGGTAATGATGTGTGGTTGGAGTGTAATTGTAACATCATTGAGGAGATTTCTTTCCTATAAATAAAGCCACAGAAGTCAATATTGCCTAGAGAAATAATGTAAGTTGGGAAAAAAAAGTGGAGTTATGTAAAAAGATCAATGTGGCTGCCTCACAGGGTACTTGTTGACCAACGTGGTAAACTCTCTGAAAATAACTCATGAAGAAAAAGTCACAGAGCCAGAATATTTCAGAGGCAGGACTTGAACTCAGGTCTTCCCATGTTTGAGTCCAGCTCTCTAGCAAATTTCCTCATGGATGAAGTATTACATATAGTTTGGTTTCTTAGTCTAATATACTTACTTTTATCACATGCTGTTGTTTTGTTCAATGAATGTTTCCTGTATGCAGTGGTACTAGTTGCACGAAATTCTAATATGGAGGAAGGTAGGTGGCACAGTGGATAGAGGGCTTCGCTGAGGGTCAGGAAGTTGAGTTCAAATCCTGCCTCAGACACTTACTAGTTATGTGACCCTGGGAAAGTTAAATTCTTTCATTCTCAATGTCCTCATCCTTAAAATGAGAAAAATAATAGTACCTGCCTCCCAAGGCTGTTGTGAGAACTAGTGAGATAATGTTTAAGTACTTTGCAAACCTAAAAGACCTATATAAATGCTAGTTTTTTTTTCTTGATATCAATGCAACATATTATGTATTGATATGTACATTGTGCTTTGAAATTGAAATGATTTTTTGTGACTAAATTAGATAGGAATTATCTTGTTAATGACATGACTAGAGGATGCAATAGGCCTACCAAGGCCCCTGAACAATTGGCATAAATTTCTTCTGCCTGAGGTGAATACTGACTGGGATAATGTGAGATAACAGGAAACATGGAGATCTTGCTTGTCTTCATTGCCATATTTCCCTCTCCTTCCTATTTGCCTCTAAAGAGTCAAATTGCCTATACCCTCCACCCACTTAATTTTGCTAAGACTTTAATAGCAAGGCCACATATTCTTTTTCATGTGAACCAGATCCAGGGTTGGGAAGTAAATTCAGTAATATGTGCAAGAAGTAAGCACTGATCAGGAATCAGGACAGCAAGTGGATTTGTGACCATTTCAGAGCAGAATTTGACTGGAAATCAAAGTAAATCTGATCAATGTGATGAAGAAAAATGACGCCCAGACTAGACCAATGTTATATCTTCTGAAATGAGGAGGCAAGTGGATCACCTGAGCTCTAGCTTTGCTCATCCCTTTCCATCCATCCTTAGGGGATTAACTGGGTAAATGTGACTTGGGTTGGAAGACCAAGACTAGAGGTTGTATGAAAAGGCAAAAAGGAGTTGATAAGGACCCTTACTATATCCACTGGTTTACCATGTTTTATTGCTTTGATTATCTGTTTATTCTAGCTATTCCTGGAAGCTGACATAGTGCAAAACATACCAAGGAAAAGGCCAAAGGGGAGGGAGAAGTTTTTCTAGAATGGTATGAATCATGATCTGATTGATTAATCTATACTAAAATCCTACAGTAACAAGAGGGAAGTGATACCACCCCCCCCCAAAAAAAAGAATAGATTCCTTAGGTTAGAATTTCCAGGGTTTTCTATTCAACCCTTCTAATGAACATTTCATTTATAATTCCTCAGTCCTCCAACTCAGTGTCCATCTCTAAAGTCAGGCTATAAACATTGACCATCACTTCCAAAATTTCACTATTAATTTCCTCTAAAACAATATATTGCAAGATATTTTATTTCACTGATTTAAATAAGTAACAGTTGAAATAAACATTTCTATCCTCCCATTTCCAAGTCACTGTCTTCATTTGATAAGTACCGAAAGATTTTCTTTAAAGTTTCTCTTTCCCTGAAAGAACTTATCATCTACACCATCAAATTAAACCTCATAGTATATAGATCATAGACATGTCAAAGGCTTTATTTTATTTGAGAGGATAAGATGGTGGAGGGAAAGGGATTTCTTAGCCAATTAGCCCTAGCCTTTGAGAGAAGACTACAGTAATGTGCTCAATTCTCGTTTTTCTTTGTCAAGGGGAATAGCCCTTGGATTAGAAAAGAAGACGATCATAAAAAACTAATATTGAAGTGGTGTAAAAGATAAGAAAAATGATATTTAAGAGTTTTTAGCTGTCCTTAATAAAAATAAGTCACTTGGCCCAAGTGTATTAAATTCTTATGTGCTGAATGGACCAGCAAAAGGGATGGCTGATTCATCATCAATAAAATCTAAAGAAGCATGGAGCAAAAGAGAGATGTCACAGAATGAGAGAAGAACAAATTAACCAATTTCTAAAAAGAGGAGAGAATTAAATCTTCAAATCATAGATCAATGAACTTGCCTTTGATTCTTGACAAAATTCTCAATTTTGTTATTAAAGAGATGGTCAGTGAACAACTAGAAAAGGTAGGAGCTATTTAAAAAAAAAGACCTAGCAACCTGATCAAGGAAATTTGGGGATACAGTTTATGGTACCTACATTTTGGCAAAAAAATACTTTAATCACATTCTTATGGAAAGAGATGCAAAGAGGCTAGATGATAGGATGATTAGATGAATTTGGAACTGATTGCAAGCCCAGTCTCAAAAAGATATCTCTAATGGAGTATCCCAGGCCTCTGCATTAGGCTCTACAATGTTAAACATTTTCTCAGGGATTTAGATAAGGCATAGATGATCTTTTTTTGTTTGTTTTGTTTTGTTTTCAAATTTGCACGTGACAAAAAGGTAGGAGGGAAAAATAACCTACTGGGCGACAGATTCAGCCCAATATTCCAGCCTATCCAGATCCCCCTGGATCCTAATTCTGTTAATAAGAAATATGGCAGTGTTGAATGTAAACCCTTATATGTGGGTTCAAGAAATCAACTTCATACATACAAGATATAGGAGGTCAAGTGAGACATCAGTTTGTTTCATGTTGCTGTCATGGCTCAATTAAGGTGTCTCCTCTTCCATTACACTTTCCTCAGTCACTGCAGGTGCAAGTTTCATGCACTTTTCCCAGAAAGTTTTTGGAAAGGAAAAGCTAGAAGCAGAGAGATCAGGTAGAAGATTATGATAATAGTACAACAGTGAGATTTAATAAATGCCTGAAACATGACAGTGACTGAGAATGGAGAATAAAGGACAGATAAGGGCTAGTATTTATGTAGCACCTTAAGGTTTGCAAAGCACTTTAGAAATATTACCTCAGTTGATCTTCATAATGGCCCTTTGAGGTAATTGTTATTATCCCCATTTTACAGATGAGGAAAAAATATGTTTAGAAATTTGCCCAGGGTTACAAAGCTAATAAATATCTGAGAGAAGATTCAAACTCAAGTCTTCCTGACTCCAAGTCCAGAACTCTATCCACTCACTATATCACATTGCCTGCATAGAAGTGATACAGATATATAAGTGATAGAACCATAGAGTGACTGGGGAGAAATGTGATCTACCCTGTGCAAAGTAGTCTGCTAATGCAATGGGGAATAGATGTAAAACTATCAAATTCCTTATCTCTACATAAATAGCTTCAGCAGCTCTGAGAATCATGGCATCTTTAGCCAAGCCCAACTTGTTTTTAAATGAGTCCCTTTAATAAATTTCAACAAGTTTTAATACAGTTTCTACTTGAAAACTTCTAGTGAGGAGATCCTGAGGCATCTCATTCTACTTTTAGACACTTTGAATTGTTAATAAGTTTTTCCTATGTGGAAAAAAAATGCATCATCAGATCATTGCTTTAGTTCTGCTTCTGGGGCCAGTCCTTCCTCACAACAAACCTATGAAGTGGGACATGAAAATATTAGCTTTTTAATTTGCACAGTGAACTCATGCGGTAAAGAGTCAGGATATTTGGCCAAGATTATAAGGCTATCAAACTCTACCACTTACACCTCTAACATCTTCATTGCATGACTGGGAGTGACTTAAGCCATTTGGCTGCTAATTGTTCTCTGTGAATCATAAATCAGATTCTCAGAGCTGAAAGGGTCCTCTAGTCCAAACCTCTCATTTTTCAGTTAGAAAAATTAAGATTATCACCAGTCCTCTTTATTTAATAAAAGCCCATTCCTTCTTACGCTGTGATTGTTATTCTTTACCTGGGTCTCCAAACATTTTTCTGGGGAATCTATATTCATAGAGTATTGAAATTAGAATAAGAGAATCTGGGTTTGAAATGTAGATCTCCCTCTCACTATTTATGTGACACTGGGCAAATCGTCTCACCACTCGGCTCTGGTTTCCTCATTTGTAAAATGAAAGCAACAAACATGACCTCTAAAACCATTTTCAGATCTTCTTCTATGATTCTAAGAGCTCTCTTTGGAGGCTGCAGTCCAACCCACGACCCAACAGTCTTTACTCTTATCCTCAGCAGAGGTACCTACCTTGCTCATTTTCCTGCCCTACCCTCCTGCAAAGAGGTGTCTTCTACAGACTTTCTGTAGGACATGCTGGTCCACGCTAAGTGAAAGAAGATTTATATAATCCTTCCACATACATTAGGATGGTGTGAAGGATAAGAGGGATAGGGACTGAGTCTATACTCTCTACTTTTAGAGAAATCTCCATCTAAGAGGTTTGCTCTTTCTGTGACACATGGATACTCTTAAAAGACCCTTTTCCCTAGGATACCCAGACAGCCCAATCAGTATCCCCTGGAACAACAACACAGCCATGCCTTCCACATATGGCTCCCTAGAGTCTAGCACCCCCTTTTTCCCTGGAGTCCAGGAAATTAACAGAAAGAAACTGGATATTGAGGTACCCTGGACAAAAAGTCAAGAGACCCAGGTTCTAATTCTGGCCCTTATACTTGGAGACCCATTCCCCAGTCTAGCAGTTTCCATCTCTGTAAAGTCAGAGTTTGGGACAGACTGCGTGATTTCTATGGTACTCTTCAGTACTAACCAGTTATGCTGTTGGGCTCCTAGGCTGAGCTCTATGGGACTGATTAAAAAGAGAAAGGGAAGCCCTTGGAATTCAGAGTTGGAGAGAGAAATGATGAAACACCCATCTCCCCACAGTACATCTCCACAGCTAATCACCAGGAATCTCTCCCAGGCCCAGCAGAGTCCCTAGTGGTAATTGAAGTTTTGCCTCTTTCTTCCTCAGGGACTAATTTGGAAATTCCTGAAGCAGGGGAATTGTAAGGACAGACCTTTGTGACCTGAGGAACTAAGGAGCAGGAAGTGGTGCCTTCATTTTCAACTCTTGCTCCCTTTTCTGTCTCCTCCAAGGTGATTAGACTTCATAGAAAGAAGAAGTGAAAAATATTACACAAGATCCTTCATTTCACTCTCCCCATTAAAATTCTCAAGTGACTACAAAAAAAAGGTAGAAATCTACTTAGTCCTCTCCCATTGAAGGGAGGGAGAAAGCATTGCAGGGTGCAGCTCTGAAACACCAAGTAGTTAGATAGAAAACAAACTCCCATAGTGGTTGGTGCATCCTTTTGGAGTCCAAGAGATTGACTTGCTCAGGATAAGGGTTAGTAGAAGAACTCGTCTGCTAATTCCAAAACAAATACATAATAGGGGCTTTGTATACACACATACCCCAAATTAATAATAATAATATCAATAATAAAAATATATATAGCACCTACTATGTGCCACTCACTATGTTAAACACTTTAGAAATATTAATCCATTTGATCCTCACAACCACCTTAGGAAGCAGGTGTTATTGTTATCCCCATCTTGCAGATGAGAGAACTGAGGTAAACAGAGGTTAGGTAACTTGCCCAGAGTTACACAACTAGACAGTGTCTGAGGTCAGAGTTATTTTTTTTTAGTTTTTTTTTTTTTAGAGCACTGAGGTATGAAATCATGTTTTATGACAAATGGAAAGGTTGAGGTGAATGAATGCCATACATTTAACTGATATTTTGAAAAATCTAATTTGAACTAGGTACTATTTGCATATTATACAAATGAAGTACTGTTATTATACAAGGATTCCTATTGTTGATAAGATAGTTCTTAATATCAATGTTGCAGTATCTAGATCTTCAGAATAACAGGATTTATTTTCCTCTTGTGGCATACATTGTTTTATTGTTAAGAATTACTATACAACATTTATTTATTTTTTTAAATTTATTTTATTTTTAATTTATAGGATAAAACAAGAATTTCCATAACAGTATAATAAAAAAGATGATTGATGCAAATCTATTATGTACAACTTGCTATTCCTTTTAAATATATAATAAAGTTATCATGTAAATTTCTTTTTTCTTTTTTTTCCTTTCCTTCCCCCCACCCTAAAGATGGCTACCACTAGACATAAATATGTACATATTTGTGAAATTATTCTTTGCATACTTCTATTCAGCAGTTTTTCCTCTGGATGCGGTAGGGTCTTCCTTTATAGGTCCTTTGTAGTTGATTTAGATATTTGTAATAATCAAAATGATTTATTTGCTCAAAGTTATTCTCAAAACAATATTGCTGCTTTTTCCGCCCGCACCCCCCTCCACCTCTACCTCCCAAGCGCCGCTCTGGCTGCATTTTGTTCACACCGGGCTCTGGGCCCCAGAAGCGCTAGCACCACCACCTTGGCCTTGCTCCTTCCCCCGCCATGATCATCTACCAGGACCTCATCAGCCATGATGGGCTGTTCGCCAACATTTACAAGACCCTGGAGATCGCAAACGGGCTGTACCTGGAGGTGGAGGGGAAGATGGTAAGTGGACAGAGGGTACCATTGATGATTCACTCATTGGTGGAAATGCCTCTGCTGAAGGTCCTGAAGCTGAAGGAACAGATGCCACTGTAATCACTGGAGTTGACATAGTAATAAACCAGTATCTGCAAGAAACTAGTTTCACAAAAGAATCCTACAAAAAGTGCATCAAAGACTACATGAAATCAATCAAAGGCAGACTTGAAGAACACAAGCCAGATAGAGTAAAACCCTTAATGACTGGAGCTGCAGATCAAATATATACTTGCTAATTAAAAACAAAACAAAACTATCAATTCTTCATAGGGGAAAACACAAATCCAGATGGCATGGTGACTCTCTTGGACTTCCATGAGGATGGTGATTCCATATATGATTTTCTTTAAGGAAGGTTTAGAAATGGAGACATGTTAACAAATTCAACTGATTACTTTGAATCACTTGTCATCACAACTGGCTGCTGCTTTTTGTCATCTGTACAATGCTAGGACTTGGACAAACTTGGACTGATGTCATCTTGAGCTTTATTCATTTATTTGTTACTTTGATTTATTTGGAGTGGAGGCATCGTTTTTAAAAACATGTCATGTAGGTTGTCTAAAATAAAACACATTTAAACCCATTTGAGAGAACTCCTCTTAGTCTAATGTTTTTAAGCTCAAATTACATTAACTTGCTACAGTTGCACCTCAAAGATCATTGTAGAGATCATTGCCTAAGTCTTAGGTTACTTTTCAGCATAAGACTCATCAGACAGACTTTTCTACAGTTGACTGCTTACGAAAAAGGGAAGAGATGCCCACAAATGTGCCAACAATATGAAGTAAACCTTTCTGCATTTTCATTTCATCTACAAGATGAAGTAGAGTTAACTCTGGAAGAGATTACATCCAAATTGAATAAAATAAAACCATGTAAAACTAAAAATATATACATGTTGCTGTTACTGTATACATCATTCTCTTGGTTCTGCTCATTTCACTCTTCATTATTTCGTGGAAGTCTATCCATATTTTTCTAAGATCATCAAGCTCATTATTTTTTATAATATAGTAGTATTCCATCATAGTCATACACCACAACTTGATCAGCCATTCCCCAATTGATGAGCATCCCCAAAATTTCCAGTTCTTTGCCACCACAAAGAGAGTTGCTATAAATATTTTAGAATATATAGATTGTTTTCTTTTTTCCCTAATAATCTTTGAAGAAGACCTAGTCAAAGGGTGTAGGCAGTTTAATAACTCTTTGGGCATAATTCCAGATTGTTCTCCAAAATGGTTGGATCAGTTCACAATTACGCCAACAATGAATTAGGTTCCCAATTTTTCCACATCCCCTCCAACATTTGTAGCTTTGCCCTTCAATCATTTTAGATAATCTGATAGGTGTAAAATTATATCTCAAGGTCGTTTTAATTTATATTTCTCTAATCAATAATGATTTAGAGCGTTTTTTCCATATGACTATAAATTGTTTTGATATCTTTTTTTGTAAAACTGCTTGTTCATATCCTTTAACAATTTATCAGTTGGTGAATGACTCATTCTTATAAATTTCAAAAAATTCTTTATATAGCTGAGATATAAGACCTTTATCTGAGAAACTATCTCAAATTTCCCCCAATTTTCTGCTTTCCTTTTGATCTTGACATTTATTTTATTTGTACAGACCCTTTTAAATTTAATGTAATCAAATTTTTCCATTTTACACTTAATTCTGCTCTCCATCTCTGGTTTATTCATAAATTATTTGCCTATCAATAAGTCTGATAAGTTATATGTTCTATGTTCTTCAATTTTTCCTATAGCATTTCTCTTTATATCTAGGTCATTTATCCATTTTGACCTTATCTTGGTAAATGGTGTAAGACATCGGTCTATGCCCAGTTTTTGCCATACTGTTTTCCAGTTTTCCCAAAAATTTTTACCAAATAATGAATTCTTATCCTAAAATCTTAAGTCAAATTAAGTCATTTGTGAAATACAAGGTTATTTTATATTTATTTGCTGCTGTAAATTGTATGTCTACTTTCTTCCATTGATCTACCTTTCTATTTCTTAGCCAATAGTAGAGAGTTTTGATAATTACTGCATTATAGTATAGTTTAAGATCTGGTACTGCTGAGGCAGCTAGGTGGTGCAGTGGATAGATCATCAGCCCTGGAGTCAGGAAGACCTGAGTTCAAATCCAGCCTCAGACCAAACACATAACACTTACTAGCTGTGTGACCCTGGGCAAGTCATTTATCCCCAGTTGCCTTAAAAAAAAAAAAATCTGGTACTGCTAAACTTCCTTCTTTATATTACTAATTTTAAAAAAGTTAGTTCCTTTAATATTCTTGACTTTTTGTTCTTCCAAATGAATTTTGTTATAATTTTTTTATTTCAGTAATTTTTTTTTGGTAATTTAATTGCTATGGCATTGAGTATATAAATTAGTTTAGGTAAAATTGTCATTTTTATTATATTGACTCTGCCTACTTACCCATGTACAATTAATATTTCTCTGATTTTTAAACCTGCTTTTATTTGTATAAAAATCTAAGGCCAGATTTTTACTTAAGTCTTTCTGACTCCATGTCCAGTCCCCTATCCATTGTCCCAATTTTTAAAGAAATTTCTCCACAAACTTACTATTTTTGAGAGGGCAAAGCCAAGATGGAAAAGAAAATGCAGGGACGCCCCTAAGTTCTTTCAAATTCCCCTTCAAATAAACTTTCAGGAAAACAAATTCTGGAGTGACAGAACCCACCAAAAGATG